AAACTTCTAGCCACCCCAATCCAAAAGTCAAAGTTGCCTTCCTAACCACCCAACCAAAGATCCCTTTATAGTCATGTCCCAATAATCGCCCACTGTAGATAACATCTCAAGTGAGAGAATTTCCAAAGTCTTGGAAATCTTGTAACTTGGGCGATCTTGGTCAGAATAAGGCGATCTTGGTATCGTTGGAAAGCTCTGGATTTCTCCTGCATGATCAAGCATGTAGACTTGGAGAAAACACAGAGATGATAAAATCCAACAGCCATGCGTAATGACATATGCTCATGCAAATAATGCAAGCACACATAGCACGAGCACTCAGCAGGACGTTAGGATGACATGCACTCAGAACGACGTGCATCCAACAGGTGGGTCTTAAGGGCCGATGGGTGTAGATTTAGTGTGTAGGGGGTTTCGGGGATAAGTGCTATAGGGCAGTATGGTGTCGCGGTCTGTGGGCGGCTGTGAATCAGCGGATGAGCCCCAGAAGTGACTGGGTGAGGTCCCTGAGAGAGGGATACCGAGAGGATGAGGTGAGCCGTAGGGTCATGCGGCTTCCGCGGCGGCTTCCGCTTCGACGCGCGCGATCTCCTCTTCGATCGGTTCTTCCTCCTCGTGTGGCGGTGTTCCCCACGTTGGAGCGGTGCCCCCCCATCCAGTTTCTGTATTGACGCTTCCCTAACCGCCAGCTGCTGCAGCTGCTGCTTTAGCTTCTTCGTCCGCGCAGAGACGTCGCTCCTCTTCTTCATGGCGCTGGAACTCCTTGGTTGTCATGGTGCGTTCGGACCAGGGGTGATCCACATGGTATGTCTCCCAGGTAAGGGGAAGTGGATTGTTGTTTGCATCAAACGCACAAGGGCCGATGTAGCGGGTGAGGAGATCGAGGCGTTCGTGGACCGTGGGGTCGCACCCCTTTTCCTGATTAAAGTCCATGTCTCTCTGTTCGTGCAGCAAGGTTGCGCAAAGATGTGCCTCGGAGATTATGCCCTGTTGGCGAAGCAGAGCTTTGCAAGGATTCTAGTGTGGGCCAAGTCCTCGGAGGACGATAGTGACGAACATGTCTTTGGAGATGGTGTTGCCCAGCTTTAGCAGTTGATCGCGGACACTGCGGCAGCGATTGATGTAAGTATTTGCCTTCTCACCAGGTGCCATTTTGACTTCCATGCGTTCTTGGAGCAGGCGGCTGGATGAAACGGAATCCTTGGGTTGATAAGTCTTCTTGAGGTAGTTCCAGGCGGCGAGGGCGGGAGCTGGGTAAGTCTTGTAGAGGTGGATGCCGAGTTGCAGGCACGGGCTGCTCCAGGGGCGGGTCCAGGGACGGCCGCTGCAGGTGAAGGTAGGAGGAGGGGGGAGGGGAAAACACACGGCCCCCAGGGCGCCCCGAGGGGCGACGAGAAGGGAGCCGCGCGGCCCCCCCCCGGGGCGCCGCGACGGGCACCAGGGAGGGCGCCGCGACGGGCCCCCAGAGCCGCCTCGACGAGCGACGGGGAGGGCGCCGCGCGGGCCCCCCGAAGTCGCCTCGACGGGCGACGGGGAGGGCGCCGCGCGGGCCCCCTGAAGTCGCCTCGACGGGCGACAGGGAGGGCGCCGCGCGGGCCCCCCGAAGTCGCCTCGACGGGCGACGGGAGGGGACCGCGCGCGGCCCCCCTGGTCGCCACGACGGGCGACTGGTGGGGAGGCCGCGCGGGCCCCCAAGGTCGCCTCGACGGGCGACGGGAGGGGAGGCCGCGCGGGTCCCCGAGGTCGCCTCGACGGGCAACGGGAGGGGAGGCCGCGTAGGTCCCCGAGAGCGCCTCGATGGGCGCGTCGACGGGAGGGGACCGCGGAGGCCCCCCCAAGGGCACCACGACGGGCGCCATGGAAGGGAAAACCGCCAGGCGCTCCGAGCGCACGGCGGGCAGAAATTAGGGTTTCGCCGCCGCGCACCACGGGGCGCGCGGCGGACAGTACGGCAGCGGAAGCGGGTGGTGGCCCCATACAGGAAGGCGGCAGTGACACGCCGCCCTCTGATACCATGTTAGAAACACTAGGAGTGTGGCCTAGGCTTAGTAGCCTAGGCCACACTAAGAGGTAGGAGGTTGTGCCCTAGGACTAGGGTTTTGGGTATGCGAAGGAGAATTGGAGAAGGAATTAATGAACTAGCAAGCAGGTTGGTACAAATAGGAAACCCTAAAGGGGTTGTACTCACTATTGAGCACCCCACTGCAGGCTAGACAAATAACATAATCTGACAATTCGTTGCAATATTGTGCTTTTGCATCGTCGGTGTCGCTGGCGGGACCAGCGTAGCTTCCGTCAAAGTAGCAGAAGATTTGCGCGTTTTGCAGGAGTAGCTCGAGCTCAAAACTCCAAGTGTAGAAGTCATGTCCGCTAAACACGGTGCTGGTGCGGATCTTGGAGATAGTCAGAAACTTGTTCTGGGCAGCGAGCATGACTTGGACGAGGAGCGGTTGGAGCAAAAGAGTTTGACCCGATGTTGAAAGTGGTTGGGCTCGATTCCTTGACTGGAGCGGCCGATTGCTTGGGTTGTTGCGTGGTTGTTGGGTTGACATTCTTCAATTGTTGAATTCCGGATTCCAGCGTGGTGATTCATCGAATGAGTTGCTCCAGAAGTGCATTGCTGATGGTGGTAGTTCCCGCGGAGTTCGCGATTGGGTTGGCGTGGGGTTCGGCACTGTTGGCCGCTTGCCCTCCAGATCCTCCAGCCATGTTTCGGCGGGAGCGCGTACCGGACGCCACCTTGAATTTGAATTTGAATCAAAGGTGGTGATGCGAAGAATCCTGAGTGGCTCTCATACCATGATACAATCAGAACCGTCTTATAGGATCATTTCAGGTTGATCGCACGAAAGTGTAGGAGAGGAAGTCTGCTAAGCAATGTTGGGTATAGACTCTGTTAGAAGGAGATTTGTATCTCGACAGAAGTTACTACTACAATGCGGTACAAGGGTTTATATAGGAATACAGTGGAATACGAAAGGTCCTAGCTAGCCATGTACTCTGAGGGGGTACATTCCCCTTAGGGCTAATCTAGATGCGGGATTGCAACCGTGCGGCTCGGTAACCGTACGCGGTTCGGTAACCGTTTGAACTTTCTCGCGCTTTTCATTCCAGATTCTTCCTTCTTGTAACTGTCTTCGATAACTGTCTTGTCGCTTGGTCTTTCGTCCTCGCTGCAGTCATCTTCGCGTTAAGGATTCGTTACTTAGGGATGTCTATGCAATCATTCCATATCGTAACACCATCCTCTGCCCTTCCCGTCCCCTGCCCGTCGCGTCCCCTGCCCGTCGCGTCGCGCTGCCCGTCCCATCCCCTACGCGTCGTGTTTCGTCCCCTGCCTGTCGTCTTGTCGCCCCGTCCCCTGCCCGTCGTCCCGTCCCCTACCCGTAGTTCCGTCCCCTACCCGTAGTTTTGTCCCCTGCCCGTCGCGTCTCGTCCCCCCCCCCCCCCCCCTCCCGTCGAGTCGTCCCCAGCCCGTCGCGTCGCGCCCTGCTGTCATGTCGAGTCGCGTCCTACCCATCCCATCGCATCGTGCTCTACTGTCCCGTCGCGTCGCGCCTTCCGCTCAGCCTGTCGCGCCCTTCTCGGACCCTCTAGGCGCTTAGGGTTTCGGCAGCAGCAGTATCTACCTCTACGCTTCCACTATGACGACCCCTAGGGTCCTGCGATTTGACGCTGAGGGTAGGCCGGTCGAGTTCTCGGTCTGGCTCATGCGTGTGTGCCACCTTCTAGAGATCCAGGTCCAGGCACATGAGACTCTGTGGGCGCACACTTCCGGTGACCTTCCTTAGCTCGTTAACCCTACACCCTTAGAAGCTGACCCCACATCTGCAGACAGTGATCGTTATGCACGCGAGCGTGCTGACGTGACCGTGTAGAAGTCGCGTGATGTTGCGGCCTGCATCGCCCTCAGCAGCCTCCTCCTTGAGTCTGAGGAGACCCACTTCACTCAGGTTCGCACGGCTTGTGACTGCGATCAAGGCCCGCTACGCTATTCCCACCACTGCCTCTCTTGGTCGCCTGTTCCTTCCGTTCCTGTTTCCTGACCTCACCTCGTTTGAGTGCACTGCTGACTTGATCACTCATCTTCGCTCGCTCGGTTTTAGCTACTGCGCTGCTTGCACTGATGCACGGCTTGCACTGCTCCCTCCCCCCATGGCGATTACTATCTATTTCATTGCCACTAGCCTCCCTGACCGCCTTGCCTCGGTTCGTGACGCGCTTCTTCTGAAGCACCCTAGCGAGCTCACTATCGAGGTCCTTGAGTCGACCCTCAAGGACGTCGAGAGCAACCTCCGCTCGGTAGCCTCTGCCTTTGGTACTGACCCCCCTCCACTGTTTCACGGGTGCACTGTCCCTCAGCTGCCCACCTTTACTGCCTCCCTCGCCACTGCTGCTACTGACGTGACCGCAGCTGCTGTTACGACTTCTTCACGGTCTCGGGGCAGGATTGGCAGGAGGGGCGGTCAGGGTGCGGGCGGAGGCGGTGAGGGGGATGTGGCGAGCGGCGGTGGTGGGAGTGTAGGGCCTGGAGGAGCGCCTCGTGCAGTGGCCAGTGACTCCCCTGCTGCAGTTGGTGGAGGTGACACCGGGGTTCGTGAGCCACCTACTGGTCTGCCAGCCGCAGGGGTTGGAGCAACAGCGTGGTACCTGATTCAGCGACAACAGCAGCGACAACAGCAGCAGCAGCCCCTCCCCTCACAGCAGACACAGTAGCAACAGCGGCAGCAGCAGGTTCTGGGGCAGTGGTCAGGACAGCGTTAGCTGCAGCGTAGTGTCGTCCACCCTCCTTGCACCTATCATATTCTGACAGGTGCCCAGCGCGTCCAGCCTTATAGATGCAGCCACCCACCAAGTCAGTGCTTTGCTCAGCTTACTGACACGGTTCGGTCAGCCTACGGCATTGACAGCCCCTGACTGGCTTCCCCTTGTTCAGACGTACGGCCCCGCTCTGTGGGGCATGTCGGCTTCTTAGTTGGTTGATCTCTTACAATCTCCTCATGCTATGTATGCTGTTGTTGACTCTAGTGCTTCTGACTCCATATACTCGAGTGTTGTTAGCTTAGGTGCTAGTCTTGCTGAGGTGCCGTGTAGGTACTTATGTGGAATCTAGTCCAGGAGCTGCTCCGGATGACGATTCACTTTCTTTCACTCTGGACTACGGAGCTTTGCACTGTTTCATCTGTGACCGTACGACACTTACCCCCCGCTTCATACGCCGGTCTCTGTAGCACTGGCAGATACCACTTCAGAACCAGTCACTGCTCGCTACACTACTACGCTTCCGTGCTTGGCGGTTCTCTCCGGTTCTCTGACCGGCTTCCACGTCCCCTCGTTCTCGAGGAACTTGGTGGGCGTGAGGCCGCTCGTGAGTCAGCGCACGGGTGTGTGGATTGAGCCTTCTGGCGAGACTGCGGTTTGTGTCGATGGGGACATGTAAGCAGCTCTTGCCACCTTTACCGCTGAGCCGGGCTCTGGTCTCTACACACTTCACACTGGCCCCCAAGGGCAGCATCAGCAGTAGCAGCAGCAGCAGCGACTGCGGCAGCAGCAACAGCAGCAGCAGCAGCAACAGCAGCAGCAGCAGCACCAGCAGCAGCATCAGCAGCAGCAGCATCAGCAGCAGCAGCAGCAGCGGCAACAGCAGCAGCAGCAGCAGCAGCAGCAGCAGCAGCAGCAGCAGCAGCAGCAGCAGCAGCAGCAGCAGCAGCAGCAGCAGCAGCAGCAGCAGCAGCAGCAGCAGCAGCAGCAGCAGCAGCAGCAGCAGCAGCAGCAGCAGCAGCAGCATCAGCAGCAGCAGTGGCGGTAGCAGCAGCAGCAGCAGCCATAGCAGCAGGAGCAGCAGAAGCTGCCACACCCGGAGGAGCAGCGGTCGCAGCCGCAGCAGGAGCAGCAGTAGCTACCACCTCCTCCTCCTGTCTCTGGTCTTCGGACCCTCGGTCTCCCCTCTCCCTATCCTCCCTCATCCCCCTCTCCTCCCATCTCTGGTCCTCCGCTTCCTCCTCCTGACCCCTCCCCAGCTATTTTCCCCCCTCCTCTCCCCCATTGTCCCTTCCTCTTTCTCACACTTAGCCTTCGCATCGCTCTCCTCATGCTCGTCCCTCATCCCCTGTTCCCTTCTCTGAACTTCGCACTGTTTTTGTTTCGTTCTAGTCCACCTCGTTAGTCTCCTTCTACACTTCATTCTCCTCCTGAGTCGGCTCTCACTGCTTCCCTCTCTACTCCTGTCACAGACTACTACCGCACGTACCGTCTGTTCTCTCCCATGTTATCCCCTCTCTTGTCATCGAACCACGTGCTTCTCTGCCCTCTGTGTCTGCTCTTACTGCCGCAGTCACTGATTTTGCCTCTTCAAGCCACCTTGACTACGCCACTAGTCTTGTGGCTGCTCCTCCTACCAGTCCTCTAGCCGTCGGGGGTGTGTCTGCCCTTGGCAGTGACGCCCTAGAGGACAGGCAGTTTGAGCTTGAGTTCCTAGCAACCGCTTCCCCTCGCCTTTGTGCCGAGCTGCTCGCCCCTGAGGGAGACCCCGACGCCCTTGACATACCGACTCCTCGCACTTACTCTTAGGCAGTGTCAGGGCCTTGGGCCTCTCAGTGGAGAGCTGCCATGGACTCAGAGATGACGAGTTAAAGTTCTTGGCTCAGGCGCAAGGGATATGGTCGTCGGCGGCTACAGCCTCCTTGCAAGGCGACGTCAGAGGTCGACGAAGCGAATTGGTGTCGTCCTCGGCGAATCATGTGACAGCAGGCGGGACAGCGCCGAGCTACGGCTACTTCAAGTTTACACCAGACAGGATATCTGTCACCCCCTTGCTGGTCAGTCGACCCGACATCCTCACCTGAAAGGAAGTCGTCGAGCCCCAGCTGGAGATGGCCGGGCTGATGGGCTTCGCCGCCGATACCGACCACCAGGCGTGGCACTTCACCAAGTCGACGTACCAGGTCACCGATGACTTGTACATTGGCCAACTCGAGGAGCAGATGACACACCTGCGGATGGGTGACCAAGAGACGGCGACGGACTACTGCAACCGGGCACGGCGACTTCTCGCCACCATGAGGATGTCCGGTGTGCAGTACTCGACGGCGTCGTACGTCACCCACGTCCCGAAGGGGCTCTCGAGCAGCTGCAACTTGATGAAGCGAATGTCGGTGGTGCCGAGCATGCGGTCGACGCTCAACGAGGACTCCCTGACCTTGTACATCCTCTGGGACGAGGCAATGCAGGAAGCGAGCGGTCCATGGAGCTCCTGCCGCAGGTGAACTACGCCGCCCCGGCGAAGAAAGGTGGTCGACCAGGACAGCGCGGACAGTTTGGTGTCAGTGGACGCAGTAGCGGTAGGCCGACCAAGGACGCCGACAAGCAGAAGTCGGCTAAGGACGGCGGCCGAGGAGGAGGAAGTCGACGTCGGGAGTGCTGGATCTGCCACAGCCCCGACCACCTCTCCTTCGAGTGCCCCGACCGCAGTGACTCCGACGACGACGACGCCAAGGGAGGCCGCGGGAGGTCGGCCAGCCGTCGTCCACGTTGAGGAAACAAGCCGCGCAAGGAGAAGCAGTCGATCAAGTCGACATCGGCAAAGGACGCCGACTCCTCTGCTGGCGGCAAGGGGCGAGACGACAAGGAGGCGTCGTGCTAGCTGGCGCCGGAGGCCAACGAGGACTTCCACGCGATGGCGGCAGCTGTGCAGGCAAACCCGTTGGTGGTCCTGCTTGACAGCGGCTACTCACACCACCTGATGAAGCCCTCATGTGCTTTAAGTGGCACTGGACGAGGGTGAAGTGGCACCGGACGAGTACCATGGTGGCCGCGGGTGAAGTTGAGTTGCGTTATGTGAAGACGACGAGGCAGCCAGCTGATATAATGACCAAGAGGCTAGTGGAGCAGCAGCATTGAAAGTGTTGCAAACTGGCTGGGATGGCTCCAAACCGAGAGAGCAAGATCCTAAGGCACAATTTTAATCACTTAAAAAGATGGTCTAGAGAGTGAGAACCATGTGAAAATGTCCAGCTGCTGCATGACTAGGATGGTGGAGGAAGTACAATCATGAAGCATGGAATTGTTGGAGTTGGGGACCTCCAAGAGAACCATGAGAGGGAAGGGGTTCTCCAAGAGCTAGGGAAGGATGGTAGGAACCTTCCTAGCAGCAAGGATGCAACCCTCATCATGAGGTCCTTGAGGTGTCACATGCAAAATCCAATCTAGTTGGATTTGTCTATGTGTTGCAACATTTGCAACCCATGCTAGAAACTTCTAGCCACCCCAATCCAAAAGTCAAAGTTGCCTTCCTAACCACCCAACCAAAGATCCCTTTATAGTCATGTCCCAATAACCGCCCAATAACCCCAAAAGGTAATAAGAAATCCAAAGTCTTGGAAATCTTGTAACTTGGGCGATCTTGGTCGGAATAAGGCGATCTTGGTATCGTTGGAAAGCTCTGAATTTCTCCTGCATGATCAAGCATGTAGACTTGGAGAAAACACAGAGATGATAAAATCCAACAGCCATGCACAATGACATATGCTCATGCAAATAATGCAAGCACACATAGCACGAGCATTCGTGAGGACGTTAGGATGACATGCACTCAGAATGACGTGCATCCAACAACCCTATGATCCTATTAATGATACCCTCTTTGGCTACTCAACGCAGCAAAAACCACTGCTACTCGAGGCCGATGCCTCCAGGCACTGGTGTATAGCAGTGCATCTCACTCGGTGTGCGACCGCGGAACATTGGGGAAAAATGGAGGAGACACGGTTTTTAGCAACAATGGTGGATGGTACGAAGCTTCCTATCCATGGCGAAGGATCCATATAGATGCACGTTGGTGCGTTGAGATGGAAGCAGGCGTTGCTGATCACTGACATCAAGGGTTAGAATCCATCTTATGGTGAGAATTCTTGAAGCGGTTCAACCCCGGGATTGACTGGGTCAACAAGGAAGCCTGTATCTACAACAACGGGAAATAGGTGGAGTTGCGGAATTGGTCAGATACAGAGGATGTTCCTGAAACGACACTAGCACGGTTCGATCAGACGATGAACGAGAGTAACATGGGTTAATTAGCACTAATCATGGCAGCGACAGAGGAGGAAAAGCCGATTTCGGAGCTACCTATAGCAATGAAGGAGGTCTTGGAACAGTACAAAGATATAATCCCAGACGGCCTACCCGCAGGTGTACCTCGAGCGCTCACCCACGAGCACGAGATCGTGGAGGAACCAGGTGCAAAACCTGTCTCACGTGCACCATACTGACTGAGTTCGCCACAACAACAACAGACATGAAGAAGCAGATAGAGTAATTATTAGACAAACCACTGATCCACCCATCCACCATTCTTCCCTACGGTGCACCAGTTCTCTTCACTCCAAAACCAGACGGTAGTTTACAGATGTGCATCGACTACCGCGCACTCAACAAAGAGATTGTAACAAACAAACTTCCCATGCCACGCATAGACGACCTACTGGACCAACTTCGTGGTGCAACAGTCTTTTTGAAGCTGGACCTACGGTCGGGTTACTAGCAGATCAAGATGGCAGACAACTCGATCCACAAGACGGCGTTTTGTACCATATACGGCTCCTATGAGTATCTAGTGATGCTTTACGAACTCTGCAACGCACCAGCAACGTTCCAGGCGGAGATGAACCATATCCTACGGCCCCTGCTGGAAACGTGCGTAGTGGTGTATCTGGACGACATTCTCATCTACTCTAAGAATATGAAGGAGCACGTGAAACATCTGCGGAAAGTGTTCGAAATCTTGCGGAAAAACAAGTTCAATGTGAAACCGTAGAAAAATGACTTAGCACTCTGAAGAAAGTTCAATTCCTCAGGCACATGGTGAGTGCGGAGGGCGTATAGGTGGACCTACGGAAGATCGAAGCCGTTAAAAAATGAATGTCCCGGAGAATGTGAAGGAGTTGCAGCAGTTCCTAGGCTTCGCCAACTACTACAACAGGTTCGTGCCACAGTACTCTAAGATAGCACTGCCACTGACCGACCTACTGAAAAAGGGCACGCCCTACAAATGTGATACTCCTCATTAGCAAGCCATGGAGCAGCTACTGACAGCACTGACCACAGCGCCAATACACATCATACCAGATCTAGACAAAGACTACGTTGTGGAAGCAGATGCTAGTGATCAGGCAATCGGAGCAGTACTGATGTAGGATATGTAACACGGTTTACAGCCCATCGTCTACCTTGGTGAAAGGCTACAGGGAGTAGAAATCAAACTACCCCATTCATGACAAGGAAGCCTTAGCCATAGTCGTAGCCTTCAAGGCATTGCTTTATTACCTAGAGGGAGCCAAGACTACAGTTTACACTGACCACTGCAGCCTCAAATTTCACGACGACAGGTGCGGTGGGTGGACTTCTTGGAGACCCACTTCCACTACGACATCGTCTACAAACCCGAGCTAAACAATAAAGCTGACGCGTTGAGCCGCCCCGGTCATGTAGCAGGCATCCAACTCGTTGGGATGAACCCTTTTCTCAAGGGGCTATTCCAACATGGGCACTCCGAGGAAACAGAGATTGATATATCAAAGAAACAGAAGCTGTTACATTGGGAGAAATACTTCGCGGTAAGGAAAGGCGCAGGAAAGGTGTGGGTACCGAATTATGCCCCACTATGGAAGATACTACTGGAGTAATTCCACGACATACCATACGCAGGACATTTTGGGAGCAGCAAGACGTTAGCGGGAATAACAGAATATTACTACTGGCCTTGGATGGCAACAGACACGCATAAGTTCGTCACCTCATGCAACACGTGCCAGCGGATGAAGAGTAGCAAGCAGAAAGTAATGCTACTTCATCCTCTACCCGTACCGGAGTAGCCGTGGCATGTCATTAGTCTCGACTTCATCACGAGACTTTCTTCGACCTCACAAGGGCATGACGCCACTTCTCAAAAATGGGTCACTTCATACCGACCAACGCCACGGCTACAGCTGAAGAAACTGCCCGCCTCTTCTTTG